AATTTTCTTAGAATTTTCCCTTGCTACTCATCAAATTATACTTATTTAGTAATTGACACAAATCATGAATTGAATGGATGAAATCAAAACCCTAAAATTTCAAGTTTAGGCCAAATGGAACCCTAGGTATTTGATGGATTTTTCTTCGATTTAAATGAGATTTTTCATTCCTAAACACTAATTCATACCTAATCAAGTCATAATCAAGTTCTAAAACATAAATTACCATGAAAGAATAAAAAATCCCCAAATCATCACTTTAGGCCGAATGTTCATCTCTTCCTAACCGTATAAATTTTTGAGTTTTAAACCTTAAATTTAAATCTAATTAACATGTTTCAACCTTAATTGTATGAATTATAAGCTCAACCCAATTTTGTTTCATCAAGAACCCTAACCTTAATTCTCAAAATTAAAGCTAAAATTCATAAAGTAAAGCACATAAATCACAAATTAATATCAATTGAACAACCCTTGTGATGTACGTGGAGTTTAAGCTCCAATTAAACCTTAGAAAGTGAGGTGATTGAGAAAAATTTCTTCCTCCCTCTTTTCTCCACCAATTCGACCTAAACTTCCAAATTTCCTCTTGATAATTCTTAATCTCCTAACTTGATTTCCTTGCTTGATTAGTTGATTTAAGGTGTTTGGAGGTGATTTAAGTGGATTTTTGGTAGAAATTTCAAGGAAATTTTGCAAGAGTTTCCTTTGGTTTTAGCTAATTTCCATGCATTTTCTCTAATTTCTTGCACCCTATTTATAGCTAAATTTTTTATGTAATTTTGACCTTATCTCCACCATTGAATTGTCGTGTTTTGGAGTAATCCTATTCTTAAATTAACTTTTAATCCTAGCCCTTCAAATGGATAAGTTTTAGCCTTTAGCCTTTCTTTAAGTTTTACCCTTCCATCTTGCGGCCTTTCAGCCTTTCCTTTTTTAAGTGAGTCAAAATTCATTAATTAACCCCTAATCATACAGCAAAATTTTAGCTAGAAGGGTGGAGAAGTGTCCAAAATTTTCTTAATTTTAGTCTCTCATTTTTCTAATCTTTTCTCTAATTACTCATCTAATCATCCTTTAATTTTTCAATTCACCACTTTAGGTCCTTCTCTTAAAGGTATCTTAACAACCTTTAAACTCCTTAGGTTTATAGCTAATTTAATTTAGAAGTTCAAACTTTTAATTTTATGCAATTAGGTCCCTAATTTCTATTCAATTAGGCCTTTGATTCTAAAATTTTATTCTATACTTTTCCACAATTAAATTTCTCTCCAAAATAAATTCAAAAATTTATTAAAATAATTTAATCAAGATTTATATAATTTTCATACCGTTATTAGGCCTCCAAATTAATTATTTAGTGTAAAAATTACATTATTTCCTATAAGAAATATTCCTTATATATATATAAAATTAATTTAAATTTATTAGGTACTCCCATACATCTTAAATGATTTTTCTATGCCCTTAAAAAATTCCTCATACTTTTTAAGTGTCCAAATTAATTATTCTACCTCTAAAACTCTATTCGTACCAATGAAAATTCAAATAAAATATTCAACAAATAAAATAATTCACACAATCACATAAAATAATTCAACACCCCTCTAACAAATATTCTAAGCAAACAAGATATTTTTCATGCATATGCAATATGTTGAAAATAATTATTTTGTATGAAAATTACTATTCATGCATCGTAAAATCAATAAAACATTTATTAAGTATAAATGGACTATTTTAACAACTCTAAATATTCTTTCAAGTTATTACGGAGTATTTTATACTTCAAAACATTTTTCATATGTATTTAATTTTTAATTTTTATTTAATTTTAGTTTTAGCGGGTATTAGTTATTACAAATTGAGTGGATGGTTTGATCTATAAAAATAAAATATGATGAACTTGTTATCAAGTGTAGCATGCCTTAAAAGTAAAGTACAATATGATGGTCTTATTGTCAAAATAGTATGTCCTAAAAAGTAGAAGTATGATGTGATGACTTTATTATCAAGGACGACTTACCCTAAAAAGTAAAATGCAATGGCCTTACTCGTCAAGGACGACTTGTCTTGAAAAGTAAAAATTACAATGGTCCTATTATCAAGGAAAACCTATCCCGAAAACTAAAAATGCAATGCAATGACCTTATTGTCAAGGGTGACTTACCTAAAAAGTAAAATACGATGCAATGACCTTATTGTCAAGAACGATCCGCCACGAAAAGTAAAATGCAATATGATGGCCTTATTGTCAAGGATGGCTTGCCCTAGATAGTGAAATACGATACGATGACCTTATTGTCATGAGCGAGTTTGTCTTGAAAAGTAAAATACGATACAATAGTGTTGTTGTCAATAGCGGTCTATCTTGAAAAGTAGCATGTGATTTGATGGCTTTGTTGTCAAGGATGGTCCGCACTAAAAAGTAAAATGTGATGCAACGACCTTGTTATCAAGGACGACCTATCCCGAAAAGTAAAATACAATGATTTTTTTGTCAAGGGCGATCTTGTCTTAAAAAGTAAAAACACAATACGATGATCTTGTTATTAAGGATAACCTATCCTAGAAAGTAAAAAACGATACGATGGCCTTATTTTCGAGGACGACTCGCCTTAATAAATAAAAGTATGATACGATAACCTTATTGTCAATGGCGATACCGTCCCAAAAAGAAAAAAATACGATCGTTTTATTGTCAATGACAACCTATCTTAAAAAGTAAAAATGTGATGGTCTTGTTGCCAATAACGATCCGATTCGAAAAGTAAAATGCAATGGTCTTGTTATCAAGGGCGACTCGCTCTAAAAAGTAAAATGCGATGGCTTTTTGTCAAGGACGACCTACCTTAAAAAGTAAAATGTGATGTAATGGCCTTGTCTTCAAGGGTGGTTTGTCCTGAAAAGTAAAATGCAATAATTATTAGGCAACCGTACTTAAAACGATGAATTGAGTTAAACAACTATATCTAGAAGTGAGAATTGATCCTTGACTTTTGAATTTTATGCTTTAATGATGTTCTATTATGATCGTTGACTTACCAACGTCTTTTTCTTAATCAATAGTACGGTTAAATAAAAATTAAGATTCAAATAAATTTAACTTTAGGTGACGTCAAACTTGTCCTATACTCAATCTATAATTTCAACTATATGGGATTTTATTTAATATTCTTTTTGAAAATTCTTGTTCAATATTTTATTTTATATTATGATGGAAAGTTTGATAAAATGTGCGGATATGATATATTAGCAAGAGAGCATAGGAAAAGCAACAATAGTAGGATTAGATGTTATTGTTAATTTTTTTTAATCATTTTTTTAGCTTAACTCTTATTCTTGTATTGTCAAAGAATCGGTAGAATAGTGCTGATGGATAAAAAAAAACCTTTTTTTTTTTATCATATATATATACATACATATATAGAGTACAGATAAAAATGTCTTTCTTTAATGAATTTTAATTTGTTCATTCTTACTTTTTAGGTTATATTAAGATATTCCTTTAACTTTAATATGAAATTGAAATTTACACATACTTTTTGTTATTATTTTCGAAGTTGGCATAAATAAAGAGTGAAACAAATATGAAAGTTGTGGAGTTTGATTTAAATAAATCAAAGATTTTAAGTAAAATTGATACAGCATATAAATCTCATGAGGCAAATTGAAATTTACCCATTTAAATACAATATACAGCAAAGCTAACTTTTATGTGCAAATATATTTACATTTGATTTCAAATGAATATATATATATATATATATATATATATATATATATATATATATATCACTCCAAGCTTTTAAAAATATTAAGATCGAAAAAATAAATTGTAAAAGGAGAGATCATAAATCACATCAGGAATAAAGCAACCAAAATAACCAAGCCTCAATCGTAGAGGAAGCTGGAATGAATAAACCCTTAAAAAGATGTCAGTTTTTTTTTTTTTTTCCCTAATTGCTAAGTACCAAAGTGCTCCTGCTCTAAGTAGCTGGTCCTGCTCTCAAGTCAAGGCTTCTTGATACTGGAAAAGCAAGCGATCATAGACCAGACAACTTGACAAGTTGATGCAGTACAGGAACAAAGAAAATCTTTCTTGATAGTGCGTTGTTATTGTTATTACTAAAAGGTCATGCTATTACGAATTCTTATTTTGTATTTAGTTTGGGAAAATAAGGTTTTTTGGTGTCTACATAAACACCATATCTTTTATAGAATGCCAACAACGTTGATTATGATTAAAATTTCAGAACTGAGTTCCTTCTGTTTATTTGAACTCCTACAGGTTTTCTTTCAATTCTTCAGTCCTCCACTATAGGTATTTACCCTCTTCTATAGGGTTTCTTTCCTCTTTCTCTAATTTTCCTCTTCTAATAAGAATCCTGATAAATATTAGCTTCTAATAATAATAATAATAACAATATCACAAATCTACCTGAATAATAATAAAATTCTATATGTACAAAATTACAAACAAAAATGTAAATTTCTTGTTCCTATACTGCATCACAAGTAGTCCAGCACAAGCTGCTAAAAGGCTAGAGAACCGGCATTCAAATAGGAGATGAATAAGAACGTCAGTGAACATCCAGTGTCAATTATGTTCAATTCCAAACCAACAAACCGATGGTACTGATATTACAAAGAAGAAACAAAAGATGTGTCCAAAAATGTGTTACAAATTCTCTAACCTAGTCTAGTTTTAAAAGCTAAGATTTGTTCTTCCCCTTCAATGCCCTCCATGACTGAAGCTATATAATACATGATTTCCAGATCAGACCATTCCAGCTCTGACCTGCACACATTGAATGTTTCAGACTATTCCAAGGCGTTGTTGAATGTTAAGCCGCTTTATTGTAATAGTGTCTCAGCGCTCAGACAGTCTACATTCATCATGGGGAAAGTAGAATATCCTGTTCATAAGAGGCAAAAGCAACAGCCACCCACTTCTCCTGCGCAGGCTGCAGCACTATCAACGAAAGCGAGTATGGAGTCTATTTCTGACTTGCAAAATGCAATCCACTAAACAAACTCTTATAGGTCTTTTCACCCATCAATCCATCCCTCTTCCTCCACTCCTCGAGCAACTCAAAAGCCTTATCAACCATCCCCTCCCTACACAACCCTTCCAGCACAGTCTTATAAGTCAACAAATCGGGTGACAGAGAATTCCCCAACATGTCAAACACAACCCCAATCGCATCCTCAAACCTCTGCTCCATCCCAAGACTACAGCTCAAAATCATAAAAGTACTCGCACTGGGCACCAGCCCTTTACCCTTCATTTCTATATAAAACCCTAAACCCTCCCCACTTCTCTCCTTTTCACACAACCCCTTTACTAAATAACCATAACTATAGGCATTTGCCTCGCATCCATACAACCCCATTTCGCGAAAAACCCTGATGGCCTCATCAACTTCTAGACACTTAGCATAAGCTTTAATAATCATATTCAAAACGAAAGTATCCGGTATCACTCCTGACGCTTTCATTTGCTTCGTCAAGGACTTAACCGCATGCAAATACACATAACAAACATTCAATTTATTAAATCTCCTAAGTAGTGAATTAAACAACAACGTGTAAGTCTCCAAAGTGGGCTTACAATCCTCCGATTTCAACATTTTCTTATAGACATCGAAAGCACGATTAAACAAGAACTTACGGCCGCAACAGAAACGAATCACTAAATTATAGAGAGGGACACTAATCTCGCAAGCACCAGCAATTATCTCTTCAATTAGAGTCTCTGCCTGACGGTATCGCCTGCCGTTGATCAGGATTCTGATCACAGTGAAGTAGGTGAGGTGGTTGTGCTTGTAATTGCGTTGCTGCGCAGTCCAACGAAAGATGTCAAGAGAGAGATCCGGGTCGGACTGGGCCCGCATGGCCTTATCAACGTCGGTTGGAGTGAACCCGGGTTTGAGGTTTTGGGTCCATGTTTCAAATTCAGTTTCGAGTGGGGTTCGCGTTCGGGTTCTGGAGAATGGGATTTCGGGCGGCTGGGATTGAGGGATTTCGGACCGTTGGGATTGAGGGTTTTCGGAGAATGAGCGGCAATAGAGTGACGGGTCGATGATTTGAAGAGTAGATAGAGATGGGCGTGCAGAGAAGAGAAGTCTGGGTTTACCGAGAGTGGAAGAGAGGAGGCGATTTAAGGTTAGAGGAAGCATTTTCCGAAGAGGAGACAGGGAACTCACAGAGCAGTAGAAAAATATACAAGACAAAGAGGTAGATTTTTCTCATCCCTGGTTAGCTTTATAATCAAAGTGACTTTCAGGCTACTAACTAATACTCTTTTAATTTATTTATCTATGGTAAAATTTTATCATATCATTCAATAATTTAATTAATTATTAAAATAAAAAAATTATTATAAAAGAAATAGCAATGATAATAGAATTAAAGAGAAAAATAATAAGAAAATGAATTCATTATTCAATAAAGTGAGTACAAGAGGTAACACTTCAAATAATTCTCTCAATCTATCAATCTTTACAAAATACTTATACATAAATTAATGAACAATTAAACCTATTTATAGAATTTATAATTTAGAAGAGAATTGAAAGACACAATGAATAATTAAAAGTACATAAATTGTTGAATCAATTGCATCACCCTTTTAATTTCTTATATTGAATGATGAATTGAATCACATTAAGAATTATGAATAGTGGGAATATGAAAAGCATATGAACATTTATAATGAATGATAAACATTCATATGGACATTCATTATTTCAAAGCACTCTCCTTTAAATGTCCATTATACAAGAAATATGTCTCGTTAAAATCATACTAGAAAAAAACCCGAGTGAAAAAAATCCTAGTAAAAGAAAAGCAATATAATATTCTTTGTACACATTAATCCCATATTAGCCTTATAACACCCCCAACTTAGGATCTTGTAGGTTGAGAATATTACTTTCGTTGACTTGCATTCGAAGTGCAATGAATGCAAACTAACAAAATACTATGTCTTTTCTATGGTATTCTAGATATGAAATTAGTTACGAAAGCCTAATAATGACGGACAAGTCCTAAATGTTAGCCTAAAATGCACCATAATTTTTCGTATTTTATTATTTTATTTAAATTACTTGGACTGAATTAACTGGATCCATAACTCTCGATTTTTTTAAATTCCTTTTCTATTAGTTCGTATAAATTTATTTATTTGTTACTCATTACTCGGTGATTAATTTCTTTTATTCTCATCAATTACCATTTGTTATGGTTACTTGTCTCGTTAATTTCGTTTTTCTTAATTTACTATTGATGCTAACATGTAAGAAGATAACTTAAAGAAAACTATATTAACTATGACTACACTACTATTTTACTACCGATGTTTTGATTAATTTACGAACCGACCTTAATTTACATATATACTAGTTCTATGTCACATATTACAAAAATGACTTATTTAGTACATTCCTTTTCCTTTAGACTAGCCATTCATTTCTTCATAGCTTTGACTATCATGTAAAAGAAAAACATCATTCCCAAAAAATAAACTAAAATACCGAGTACTAAAATAATTATAGTTTGAAGTAGGTCCACCTTGTTACCACATCCAAGGTACACGTAGCGCATGATCCTCTCGGTAGTCGGCTCAAATATGAACATTACTATGTTTACCTATATTATCTCGCACTGCAAGAAAATGGGTGAGTCATAGCTTAGTAAGTTCTATGCATATAAATGAAGTACATATGAAAATCATTTGCATTTTCATCTTAAATCTTTTTTCATGATCGATCCGAAAATCTTTTCTCGTCTTTAGACATGTTCCATCATAAGAACTTTAGGGTTTTCATACTATGTCCGGCAAACCGGATCCGTTTGTGGACACACATGTTGTCAAGCCTCTAGGAAATGCATGTCTACACTCGATTCGACCCCGAACTTTAAATCATGAAACATTATAGGTATGAAAAGCTTGTGAAGTCCTCCTTATAAAAACATTGAAAGCCATGAAAACCAATAATCATAAAATGTTTCTAATTGCTATTGGAAAACTTTGACATAAAAGCCTTTTTTTCATGACTTAAAACAATTTTTATAAACTTGGCATGCATATGCATTTTATTGGAACAATTATGATTTCATGAAATGCATGCCATGAGTGAGATGCGTTTATGTCATGATAATGCATTTTTAATAATATAATTGCACCATAAACGAGTGTTTTACCAAATCATTCCAATCCAATTCAACTCATGAAGTTATTAACATAAACTATTTCATGACCTCACAAAGAAAACATCACACAATACAAGTAATAAACTTACACAATCATCAAACCACAACTTTCATACATCATAAAAACCTCAAACACATCAATTGGCATCCAAAGAACCAAATTACAATTAAATTACACAAACCAAAACATAAATCCTAAATTTATCTATGTAGGACGAATACTACCCTTAAGCAAAACCAAATATTTTTATTCAATCTCAACACCAATTCCTTATTCTATTTCATTTAATTACATTATCATATCAAGAACTTATTTAATCGAGCGGTTATTAGTTAAATAAATGCCTAAACCCTTATTGGACCTTAATGGGCCAAAGCCCTAATTAAGGTAACCTAACCTAAAATTTTAATTTTAATGTCATTTCTCATCCTAACTCATCCCATTAAATTACTTTAATTCCAAATCGATCAATTAAATCATTAATAATTCATAAACACTTAAACCTTAATTTTCTTCTCAAGTCGGTCGAACTTGGGCGTAACCTAAACTAGGTAAAATTCTTAAATCTTTATGAAATTTCTCATTCTTAATCATCAATTCATGTTTAATAAACTCTCAATTAATCAATAATTCATCAAGTAAGAAAATGAATCAAAACCCTAAAATCACAAGTTTTGGGTTGAATGGGTTCCTAAGAAATTCAAGGAAAATTTTTCATTTCCAATGCAATTTTTCACACTCAATCATCAATTAATACCTAATTAACACATAATCAAATGATCGATCATCAAAACAAATAAATCACCAAAAACCCTAAAAATTAAGAATTAGGTCGAATGTCTCCTCACTTCTAACCCTATAAATTCTTGATTTTTAACCATCAATTTTAAGCCTAATTGGCATGTTTAGACTTCAATTGCATGAATTTCTAACTTAGAATCATTTTCCTTAATTTTTTCTCATCAAGAACCCTAACCCTAATTTACAAAATTAAGGCCAATAAATGCAAATTAAAGCATCCAAATCATCAATTGGAATCAAGTAAACACTCCTTATAGTGTAGGTGAGATTAACTTACCAAAATAAGCTCCAATTTATCCTTGAAAAGTTAGATTATTTGGAAAATTCTTCTTCTCTTTTTATGCTCCAATTTTTGACTCAAACTCAAAATTTTCCTTTTTGTGATTCCCGATCTTCTAGCTTGAATTAGTTGCTCAATTAGTTGATTTAGGGTGTTTAGGTAAAAATTTGAGTGGAATGCGAGAAAAACTTGTAAGAGTTTCCCCTAATTTTGCTAATTTTTCAACATTTTTCCATAATTCCTACCACCCATATTTATAGGAAAATTAGGTGGACTTTTTCCTTTGGTTGAATCCATCACAACCCTTCATTTGGCTTAATCTTGGCCCTTAATTTTTCTTTTAATCCTAGCCTTTCAATTGGTTTCATCCTAACCATCCACTTAGTCTCTAAATTTTGTCCCTCCATCTAACCACGCTCTTTAAATCTAATCCTTCCATTTGTGCATGCATTAATTACACCTAAATAATTAGGCTGAAAGTGTCAGCAAAAAAGAGAAAAACCTCTCCCTAAAGTTGCTTAATTTTAGTCCTTAAAGTTGTTACTTTTCCCTTATTTACTCCCCCATAAGTCCTTTAATTATTCAATTAATCACTTTAAGTCCCTACTTTAAAGGTTTCTTAACAAATTTTGAATTCTTAAATTTCACCCCTAATTTAATTTGAAAGTTCAAACTTTTAATTTTATGCAATTAGGTCCCTATTTGTCTAATTTTATTCCATACCCTTCCAAAATCCAATTTTTTTCACAATAAATTAAAAAACCTCCTAAAATAATTTAATCATCATTCGCATAATTTTTATACACTTATTTAGGCCTTTAAATTAATTATTTTGTGTAAAAATACACTATTTCCTATAGAAAATATTTCTTATACGTAGAAAAATTTATCTAAGTTTATAAAATATTCCTACACACCCTAAATGATTTTTTTATGTCCATTAGGTAATTTTCTCTTACTTTTAAAGCACTTAAATTAATTTACATAAAAAACACTATTCATGCATAGTAAGATTCACATAAAATAATCACGGAACATTAGAAAATTCATTTATTGGCATTGAATAATCTAAAATCCTTCTAGAAAATATTCTATGCTAATAAAATATTTTTCATGCACATTCATCATGCTTAAAATAATTATTTCACACAAAAAGTCACTATTCATGTAGCGAAAATCAACAAAATATTCACTATGCATGAAAAAATTATCTTAACATCTCAAGATATTCTAACAACCCATTAAAGATTATTTCATGCCCACAAATATTTTTCATATGCCTTTAACATGTTTAAATTTATTAAATAATGGTTTTAGTGTGTACCGGGTTTTACGAGCCTCCCTTGTTGAAAATATTATTTAAGATCTCTAAGACAAAGCATTCCAATCTTGTAAATCATCTTCTCAAAAGTTGTGATAGGTAATGTCTTAATGAACAAATATGTCTGGATTGTTACTTAATCAAATTTGTTGAACATTAATATCACCATTTCGTTGAAGATCATGTGTGAAAAAAATTTTGATTATATACATTTCGTTCAGTCACCTTTGATGTATACTTCTTTTAATTGAGCTATGCAAGCAATATCAACTTCATACAATATTGTTGGAACTTCCTTACTAGTGAATAAATTGCATTTCTCTTGAATATGATGAGTCATTGATTTTAACCAATACATTTTCGACTTGCCTCATGAATTGCTAGTATTTTTGCATGGTTTGAAGATGTGATAATTATAGTTTGCTTTATAGAACACCATGATATAGATGTATCTCTATATGTAAATACATAAGTAATTTGTGATCAAATTTCGTGTGGATTAGATGAATAACCTACATCTACATAACTAATCAATCATGTCTTTGATTTATTGGAGTAATAT